AAATGGAAGCAATAAAAAAATGTGCGAGAAGAAATAAAGTTTATAACCTATCCTCGCTGTTAAAGTATCATTTAATCTACCACAAATATACCCTTACGGTTAAAGTACTATTTTATCTACTATTTTTGATAGACATAAGGCAATTTTAACTGGTCTATGGAAAAATTTATATATAATTTATAATGACGACAATCTATTGAAAATATATTGGTCTCAAGAAGCTAGCATTTGGTTTAAAATATCACGAAATAGGGTGACATACGAACAAAAATAAAACGACGTCACGCTAGCGTTTGAAAGAAAATCGATGGCGATTCCCAGAAGTTTGCTACGTGAGGAATAAGTTAAGCCAAAAATTTAAAAAGAGTAAAGTAATATCTTCTCAAGATTTTTTAGTACTGTGAAGAATTGGTAACTAAGAATTTAATAAGATTTGCCGAGTTACAAAGATATACCGGGTGCGTCTCAAAAGTGGCTCACCCCTATAACTTTTTTATGTTTTCAGATAAAAAACGAGAATTGGTATGTTAGTATATGACATAAATTAGGATTGATTGATGTATTCAGTTGTTTTTGGTCGTTTCCTGTTTCACCGGAAATGATAACAACTTTTGATTTTTAAATGGCACCCTCGGTATATTTCCACTTTATTCGATAGAAAATGACACTCTGAATAGTGAAACAAAATATATAGTAAAGGCCACGAATGTTTGGGATTGACCTATCGGTCGCTACCATGTGAACGAACCTTTGAATAAGAAGACTAAGGAAGGAGCATATCAAAAATCTTAGGTACACCGCGATGGGCCTCAAATATGGCCGACTTAAATTCCGGTTTATCAGTACCGTTCTAATTTTTTTTTAAAAATGTAAAACTATGATGTAGGGTAGACGTGGGGTAGACTCAATAATTTGTTATTTTATTTTACGTTGTGAATAAATGTTGGTAGTTATTAAAATTGTTATAAAAATATAATTCTAATAAAAATAGATAAGTTATAATAAGTATTTATTAACACAAACATCCGATACGCTACTGAAGCAGGTAAGTCAAATTAACGTATCAAAATTCTTTGACATCTAATCTTTGACAAGTTGTAAATAAAAGCTAAAATGCAAGAAAATATATAATTTAGTTAATTTAAGTGAATTTCATAAATGATCGGTTTACTACACGTATGTATATTATAGGTATAGTCACTTACTAGCGAAAAGTTGTTCCATTATTTCACTCAATTTTTGCCGAGATCTACCGCACGCTACACAACCAACTATTTTAGAATCTTTTTCGATAAATCGCGATAATGTCACTGTTAATTTAAGTTCTGCCACAATTTCCATCTAGATTTACTACCTTTATACAACTATCAGTAGTAGGATAAATAATAAATAACATAAAATAAGCTCCGTAAAGACTGACAAATCCACAAAATTTCAAATCAAATTCAAATGTGTCAAATGAATCGTCAAACAGAACTGTCAAGGATCCCCACCTTAGAGAGCTTTTTTCGCCCACCATGCATGAATACATGGATAGCATTATGCTCCTTCCTTAGTCTTCTTATTCAAAGATGTGAACTAATCTGTTCAAAGTCACATAAAACTTAATTCCAGTGCCGTGGTGTTTCAAGTCATTATAATAATCAATATATAATCTGTTGTTTTAACTGTCAAAGTCTTGTCAAAACATATATTTGGTTATAAATATAAAATGGAATGCCCCATTGCATTGGTCGCACTGCAAGCACACCAATGGACTGACGCACAAAAACGAACCAATCAAAGAAACGCGATATAGTATCGTCTTTGTCAATCACGCTAACATTTTAGAATAAGTAGGAGGAGTGCAGGCAGATGATTAGACCGGGCCTTTTAAAACCTACGTCTGCGGTAAAAATTTACGTTTCTAATGTAAAAATGATAGCGCGAGTGTCGATTCTAACTTCATCAAGCGATGAATCACTCCCAAACATTCGTGGCGTTTACTATATTATGTTATTGATCATTTTCTGTTAAATTGTTGAACTACATGGGAGTATTTTAGTGTAAATGTAGTAAACCTTACCAACATTCAATGTGTTCAACCACATGTCTTGTAGATGTCGCCGCTACTCATTTTATTAAATAAATATGGTATGCGGATAAAAAATATCTACGGGTTCAAGTAAATTGACTTATGCATTTAATATTTATTGCGAATGACGACGGCAGCCTGTGGTTTAAAAAATTATATACATTTATTATTTATTACAATATTTTGTATATAAATTAACTTGGTGGTATTGGTAAGATCTATCCATATAAATATTTAAATATTGAATGTAATTATTCTTTAGCCTTTATAAAATAAGTTGTTTTTTGAGTGTTGTGGCTATGGTTAATTAAAACAAAAATCTTTCGACGTTTCGCATTTAATGTAATGCTTCTTTAGGAATGTTGCTAACCAGCTGTACCATTCCTGAAGAAGCATTAAATTAATTGCGAAACGTCGAAATATTTTTGTTTTAACCGACCATAGCCGAGAAACAACTAATAAAACTTCATATACTTAAGTTGTTGGCTCAGCAAATCATTTATATAATTTTCTAGCCATCATAGCAAAGAGTTACACCAGAAATACACGAGGAACATAAAGTATTGACTTTTCTTCATCAAACGGACCCTCAAAATTTCCCCCTGTTACAGTAGAATGACATACCATATGTAAACTTTTGACATTGTCGCGTATGGTTTATTTGAAATTGTAACATGCGGTTCATAATGACAATTTGACTCGAAATACAAAGTGTGTGGTACCAAATTATTCGTAAAAAAAGGCTTTTTCCGAATATGCTAATGAGCCACCTTTGTTCCATTTGAAAAAATTGAGATATGATTAAAAATAAGATTTGGGCATTTTTTAACCGGTCAGGACAAGACACGAAAAGTATTAAACCATCAAATCTATTTTTCCAAAGCTCCTTGATTAAAAATTGGTGTCTTTAACACAGCCATGGCACTCTAGACTAAAATTTAAAATACGATTATTTCTTAAGCGAATATGTCAAAAGTTGACATATATGATTTGTCCTCGGATTTGTCATTCTATTCAGAGTGTCATTTTCTATCAAATAAAGTAGAAATATACCAAAACAGTACCAAAAAAATATACCAAGGGTTCCATTTAAAAATCACACGTTGTAGTCATTTCCGGTGAAACAGGAAGTGACCAAATAAAAAAGTTATAGCGGTGAGCCACTTTTGAGACGCACCCGGTAGAGTTCCTTTATTCTTCGTACTTCGTATGCAATAAAATAATGTAATTTCTCGGTAAAATCGAGTTATTTTCATTTTAGAGACCCATTACGGTTCAATAAGCATTGCATACGAGAGTATTGAGGTTATATACAGGGCGTTTCAAGAAACCTGTGCCATCTCTCCTGCGGAGATTTCTTACATAAAAATAAGATTTATTTTTTATATCAACATGGGTCCGATTCTGCTTTGTTTCGTAGCTACAGCGAGTTTACAGGAATATTTTTTTTAAATTTATTATAATTTTCTTCCAAGTTATTTTTGTGATTAGAATTAAATTTTGAGGGTAAACATTATTATAAGAGCTAAATATTTTAATGCTATAAAAGTGTCAACAGATCCACTATATAGGGACGTACATATGGGGCATTACTGGGATATAGTTTCTACCAAAGATGTATGCCACTCATGATTTTATTAAAATTTATATCACTGATGTTTAGTGCTACCTACAGCACAGTCCCCCAAGTAACTTTTTAGCAGTATAATATGTCGCATTTATAGCAACTTTTACACTAAACATTTCATTCGAATCGCTATAAGCAATTGGAAGAAAATTATAATAAATCGAAAAAAGTTAAGATTTTAACTTTCTGTAAGTATGAAACAAATCAGAATCGGACCTAGGTATGTTGATATAAAAAATAAACCTAAGGTTTGTTCCAACCAGCATTCCGGGATCGTTTCGAAATGGTACCCGAATCGGTTTTCTTGCACTATGTTAGCATGCGCGGACTTGGTTTCGTAACGGTGCAAAAAGTATCAACGTTGGAATGCTTTGTGGATTGTTTTCGGGACTGTCAAAAGTGTCAAGCGTGCGGTATCGATCGGTTTTTTGTTTTTGTTTAGAATTTCATAACATAACCCTATTATTTTTGTTTGCAATTTGCAATAATAATAGTTATTATTCTTCAAATGAAATCAGAATCCAGTAATTATTGGTAAGTGTTGTTTCAACTGTATACTCACTAACTCACTTACCTATATCCTCTCTTTTATGATCTTGTTATGCGTATTTTCCTGTTATTTCATTGCAGTGGTAGAATCTTAGAACATTATTTTATAAATAAAAAATTAATTAAAATTTCCGAACGATATACTCCACACAAACTCACAAGCAAAATATAATGTACACGTATTCGAATTCGTAAAAAATAACCAAGACAGAAGCATCAGTCGGACGCCGGACCAGAATCATCTGTTAAAAATCGATGATCCCTGCCAATATGCTTTAATGCGCAAATCAACCCAAACAGTTCTCAATTTGGACTATGTATCGAAATTGTCGTTCTGAAATCGTCAGTAAACGATCCCAACGTAGGTTGGTACGCAAATAGGATCGAGCGATAACCGTCAAATCTCGGTTGGAACACATTTGTATTACTGCGCACGAGCGTGATCGTTCGGTGACGGTTCTGCGGCGGGTTGGAACAAACCTCTTATTTTCACGTGAGGATTCTTCCCACGAAAAATGGCACCTATTTTTCGAAACACCCTGTATGTAGGTACTATAAAACAGAATAGGGGAACGGCGTGAAATAAGTTTGGTTTTAAAACTGAAAGTCATAATCGAAAATCTAATAGTTAAATAAAGTATTAAAAATAGTAATAGTAATACAAAAAGTAAAAGTAATAGTTAAATAAAGAACAGAAACCACCCACATGGTAAAGTTATTGCTTTTATTCATGAAAACTATAAAACTTACTTGTCCGAAGGACATTTTGCAACACAGGTCCCGTTGTCGTTGTAGTTCTTGCAAACTTCGCAGTGGGTGGTGGAATTGTTTTCAGTGCACCCTAAACATTCCTGATGGCATTGGTCGGTGAATATTTGACAGCTGTTTTGGTTCCAGCATGATCCTGTAAAACAAAGTTGCCTGAATCTTTTATTTTTCTTTTAAAATTTTTAAGGTATACAGGGTGTCCCAGGCTGAGCGTGTATTAGAAGTTTCTAGAACTTCTTCTTTTTTTACTAGAACACCCTGTATATTGGAAGTATAAATAATAACATTTCTAAAATTAAAGTTAACATATATGGAATTAAATAAAGGCTAAAGAGCCAAATCATTTTTTTATTCATACATTAAAGATAGAGAGACATGTCCTTTATTATTTGACAATTATCCTAGTGTCAAGTCATTATTTGGTATAATATCGTGTTGTTGTTGAATTTTTGTGAGTAATTTTCGTTTTTTTTGCCTATTTTCATAGTCTTTTTTTTTAATTGCAATTTTAAGCACAAACAGTTCTTTTAAGTTTTTTCGAGTTTTTGTCTCTTCTATTGTATTTCTTGAAATTTTGTGTTGAAAATATGCCGAAGCATTTAAACCATCAAAGCAAAGAGCTTGTAGCTCCCCTGTTTTTTAAAAAATATTTTGAACGAGAACCTGACAATAAAGGTTCTTTATTACCCTTGACTGCATCCAAAAAAGGAAGTTTAATTGATAAGCACATTATACCACTTTCAAAGTTAGTTTTTATTAAATTCTGTGATTATTAGTGGTGCATTAATAGCACCCTCTTACTTGTTATTACCACTTATGGCGTTGTAAGATGAACATCAATAAATAAGTAACCCATAATAACGCTTATAATAATCTTCATAATGGACTAGTTTTTGCCAATATGTAATAAGTAAAATAAGCCATTAAACAAATAAATCAATTAATCTCTAAAATATTAGTTATTAAATTAAAAATTAAACGTAAAACTCTTTAAAAAATAATATAATAAATATGTTGTTTGTCAATTTTAAATTAAGACTAATCTAATAAATCCATCACAATCTGGCAGTGCTGTCGCCATCGCTTGTCACTCAAAGTTGATCACGTGTTTTGCGATTACCATATGTAAAAAAATTGACCTTTAAAACAGTAGATAGTGTAAAAAATAATAATTTAATACCAATAATTTGGTACCACACACTTGGTATTTCGAGTCAAATTGTCGTTATAAACCGCAACTTACAATTTCAATAAATCATATGCGAAAATGTCAAAAGTTGACATATGATATGTCATTCTATTCAGAGTGTCATTTTCTATCCAATAAAGAAAAAAAATACCGGAGATGTCATTTAAAAATCAAGAGTAGTTATTTCCGGTGGAACAGCAAGTGACCGAAAACAATTAATATTTGACGAGATAATGTACTGAAAATTAATTTGTCTGCTGTAGTGGGTGGCAGCTTTGCATATTTGTTAAAAATACTCTATTTTGGTGCTAATTAAACACTTTCTGCGTTACTCTTCCTTTGTTAATTTTACATCAAAGGCAAGTCAGAGAATAATGAGATCTTTGACAGCGATGTAGGGTCCCTAATGTGTTGCATTGCGAAACATATTACAGTAGTTCTGCTTGTCTTAGTGTTTTTATTTTATGTAACTGACAGTTGCAATGTTATTTGTGATGTTTGCGACAACTCAGCGGATATTTTCTTATAGGGGAGTTTATACAAGGTGTTCCAAAATTCCGTGGACATAGAACTACTACGTATTTTTGGAATCAAAATAAGTTCATTGGACACAATTTACCTCTACACAAAAAATGTGCTGCCTTTATCCGTTAGAGGGCATCAAACTTTAAAAAAATAAACACATTTTTTCAGATATTTCAAGAACCGTTATTCCGATTTTAATGAGATTTTGGGTGTCTATATTTTGCTAAGTGCTTTTACATTGGACTTTCAAAAAAATCAATAAAGAGCACGAGAATGGTGAAAACTACCCCTACCCCTATATAAATTTTTTTATAATTATTTGTATAACTCAACAGACGACTGATTTTTTACAAATGATTCAAAACTAAAAACTACAATAAAGTATTAATTATTTGCTTAGTTCAAATCGATTATAGTATATTTGGTGCGTATTGGATAATAAATTGGTAATTAACAGTTTAATTATATCCGGTCATAATTACAACGATACAGTGCCAATGTGAAATGAAAGCAAACAATGTGAAATGTTTACTTACAGCGGCGATGCGGGTGATGGTGATGCGTCGCATCCTTTCAAAATAGTGTAATACGTTTTTATTTAAAAAAGTCTTTCATTTTTTGAAAATGTCATTAGTATATACAGGGCGTCCCAAGATGAGCGTGCATTAGAAGTTTCTAGAGAATTACAACATCTAGCACGGAGATTCACATCATAGTTTCACAACGAGATCTATCGATTAAAAATATTTTCAATATGGCGGCACTTCCGGAAATACCAGAAGTTGACAGCAACTTTCTTATTTTAAATGGGTGTCCATTTTTTGTTATGTACTTAAATTCTCTGTGAAATTTGATGAATTTTGATATTAAACACTCTATATCTAACATTAACCGTTTTTGAGAAAAAAAATATTTAAAATTTTGAACGATAAAAACTGCCTGCCAAAAATATGTGTATAGCCTAAACGTCACATTTAGTGATTACCGCAGCTACTGTGCCATAAATAGAAAACATGTGGCTATCTATTTCAAAATTAAATTTTTCGAATGTCATATAATAATAGCCGCAGCTGTCATAGAATTGAGCGATTAAAAAATTATCATAAATCATTTTTCCAAATGGAAACCCACTTTTTTTATTTCTCTGGTGAAAAGGCTTGTCAATTCGTTACTTTTTAACCATACATGTTCCTATACCTAAAATAAATCGTTTTTGAGTTATTTAAGATTTAGTTTTAAAGCGTATATTTTTCTTGATTTTGACCTGTAGCCTATGACTTTAAACGTCAAGTGAGGTAAAATAATAGATCTTGCCATGTCATATTGTGAGACTTTGTTCAAAAAACAGCATCATTTTCGAGCCAACTTTGCGCCGTTTTTTTTTTCGATCATGCGGAATATTATTAATAATATCAACTATTAGATATCACTAAAGAGCGAAAATACGAGATATATTTTTATAAATACACTTTTTAAACACTTAAGGCAGGCAGTATTTATACTATAGGAAATTCAAATAATTGTTTTCTGACAGATGGAAATAAATTGTTTGACCGTTTGACACTTAATGTCAAAGAAGCTAGATAAAATCAATAAAAATATACGGTTTCAAACTTAATCTTAAATAACTTAAAAACGATTTATTTTAGGTATAGAAACATGCATAGAAGTAACGAAATGAAAAATCGTTTCTTTAGTGAAATAAAAAAGTGGGTTTCCATTGAAAAAAATGATTTATGATAATTTTTTAATCACTCAATTCCATTCCTTGACAGCTACTATTATATGACATTTGCATAATTAAATTTTTGAAATAGATAGCCACATGTATTCTCATTATGTCACAGTGGCTGTGGTAATCGCTAAATTTGACTTTTAGGCTATACAAATTTTTTTGACAGGTAGTTTTTTTGTCCAAAAATTTTAAATAATTTTTTTCTCAAAAACGGTTAATGTTAGATATAGAGTGTTTAACATCAATATTCATAGAATTTTAGGGAGAATTTAAGTAGGCAATAAAAAATGGGGCCACCCATTTAAAATAAGAAAGTTGCTGTCAACTTCCGGTATTTCCGGAAGTGCCGCCAAATTGAAAATATTTTTAATCCATAGATCTCGTTGTAAAACAATGATGTGCAAAAAATCTCCGATCTAGATACAGAAATTTTAAAACATTTTCCGATGCACGTCATCAATCACATCGAAATTGACAGTAAGCCTATAAACCTGAGTAAATTAAATTTTAGCAAAAATGTTTAAATTTGTTGACTAAATTATTAAAATACCAAGCAGCTCTTCATTATACTTTATAGAGCAAATGATTGTAACAGATATTTTATTTAGATTAAAGCTGCAAAAATTAGTTTAAAACCAATTTTTATTATAGCCTTTGCGCCATGTTCAGCAATGTTGTCGTGTATTATTTGACAATTATCCTAGTGTCATTATTTTGTGTAATATCGTGTTGTTGAATTTTTGGGAGTAATTCTCGTTTTTTGTCGTTTTTCATAGTTTTTCTTCTTAAATTGTACTTCTAAGCACAAAGAGTTCTTTTAAGAACTAAATTTTCACGATTTTTTACTGCATTTTTTGAAATTGTGGATTGAAAATATGCCGAAGCTTTTAAACAGTCGAAACAAAGCGCTTGTAGCTTCCCTGATAAAATATTTTGAGCGCGAACGTGACAATAAAGGTCCTTTATTACCCTTGAATGCAGTTAGAGAAGTAAGATTGATTGGTTACATTACACACTATATTACCACTTACATTATACCACTTTAAAGTTTACCACGACATTATACCACTTTAAAGTTATTTCTACTTATTTCAATTTGTAGCGGGTAGCTGCTGCCTTAAAAAAATTATATAAAAATTATATACTAAATATATATTGTTTGTCACTCTTAAATTAAGATTCATCTCATAAATCCATCACAATCTGGCAGCGCTGTCGCCATCGCTTGTCACTCAAAGTTGATGACGTGCATCGGAAAATGTTTTAAAATTTCTTTATGTTCTCTAGAAACTTCTAATGCACGCTCAGCCTGGGACACCCTGTAGATCAATGTAGATATAGTTCTCACCATTGCATTTCTCCGGACAGGCTGGACAATCATCTTTGGTATCTCTTATATCCAGATGGGTGTTGTTTCCAATATGACGCCATTGGATAGTGTCGGCGTAGCATAGTTGTGGAGCCTTATCGATTTTGACACCTCCTCTGGCAATATAGAACAGTTTATCCGTGCCAATCTGCAACAAGAAAATATGAAAAATTAATTTACTGCATTCTTCAAACTTAAAAGTAAGTAGGTAACGTCAATTCAACATTTCTGTGTTATTAATTTAAGAGATTTAGGTCTTAACTGTGAAATGACAGTCTACTATCACTACTACGTTATAATAACTGTAGTTTAATGCCATATAATATATTCTTGGACTGACATTATGTTTAAAGTTGAAGTATTATACCACATCAGTACTTATATACAGGGTGGCGCATGAAAAACAGTCTCTGAAGGTTTTTTATTTTGCTTGTTTTAAATAGAACACGTTTTATTAAACGGTTTTATTTAGCTCGACCCGTACGGTATTTATTTATTTGTTTGTTTATTTGGGTCAAAATTAGAAATTGAAATTTAAGTACCTTCCTGTTGTCAGATTGATCTGAAATTTGGTACACACCTTTAGTTCCGATGACAATACAATATAGTAATATCAATAACATTGTAAATCTAAGATGGCCGCCGATACAAAATGGCGGATTTCATATTTTTCAACAATCCCCTCAATATGGGTATCAAATGAGAGGGCTACACTAGTACAATACTGTGATTATGACAAAATTTAAAATCCAAGATGGACGTCGTTACAAAATGGCGTATTAGGTGAGGGCATGAGTAGTCGTGTCCAGAACAGTTGTGTCCAAGATTGTGTGACGTTAGAAGGACAGATAAAAAAATAGGTAAGTAGATGTACCTACGTAGTTAGCGGTAGCTTTACCACCTAAGTTAAGGTAATAGGTTAAAACGTGCTGAGGACTGTATGGCATTAGGGTGGCTAAAAATGTAATGTCGCAAGCGTCGGCATACACGTTATATACCCGAAAGCCATACAGTTTCCAGCAAAATTCAATTACGGTACGGCTGAAAGAAGGATGTTACCCTTAATTTTGTCATGGGCATCCACCGTCCATAAAATGCAGGGCAGCACAGTCGACCATGCAGTAGTGTATTTGGGCTCAAAATTGTTTGAGGAAGAGCAAGCATACGTGGCTCTAAGTCGAATCAAGTCGCTGGAAGGGCTATGTATTGAGGAATTAGATTGTAATAAATTATCAGGTAAAAAACCATGTAATAATGATGCACTAAATGAATTAAATAGAATGAGGAATATTCGGTAGGCATTTCCGTTAAATACCAAAAACTAGAAAATAAAAATCGGTAAAAAAACTTTTAAGTTAAACGGTTTTATCTTATGTGCACTGAAAACTAGAAAATAATAATAACAATTAGGTATTTTGAACTTCTAGTTCAGAAATATTTTAGTACTAGGCAGAATAGCTTTTAGGCATATTAGACTAAAATAAAAACGTGGGGCCCATTAATTATTGCTGCAATACTTTCTTCTATACTAAGTGTGGATTGCATCGACTTACTATAATTGTTCACGCATCTCATTATTCTTTTCTTTTTAGTTTTCTTTGATTGGGTTTGGGTTTTACAATATTTAATCATTTGTACAATATAAGTGATGTGCAAAAATAAGTAATTTAATTTTAACATTGAAAAATGTTTCTGTTATCCTATATAAGGGCGCCCAAATCGAATTAAAATGCTACATTTGCCACACCATGACGTCATATATACAAGGGTATAGGAAATCTCGGCGCAGCGGCGGCAGTCGGTCAGCGCGCGCAAAAACCATTACATCGCTAATTGTTTATTGATATATCTTTATTAGTTTAAAAGCAAAAAATATGGGTTTGCTTTGATACCTTGTCAAGACATAAGCGTAACTTTTAAATTGTTTCTTTTTTCATTTACGCCTTCGTTTTTCGTTAAATGAAAGTTATATTAAAAAATCTATTTTTAAAACCAAATTTTCGCATGATTGAAATGATTATTCATGTTTAAAGTTTTTTTTTGGTTATAAGCGCTAATGGAAATGTTTTTCGTAAATAATTATAAAAATTACTCCCTACGAGGACTTTATTGTGTACTGGATCAAAAAATAAGTATTTGTTTTCTCTATAGGTGGTATTAATATATCGATTTTGATGATAGTGCCCTTTTACCCGGTCTAATTTTGTACTACTTTCGGAATATGGGTCCCCATATCATGTACTGTACTTCCATCCCTGAAAAATTCAGCTTGTGACACCGAAGTGAGAGGTAACGTCAAAATAAGCTTTAATCTACCTACATCATAGGTAGGTGTAGGTACTCTAGGTATATTCTACCTAGACAGTAGCTGAACTAGCTGACAGTAGTGTTATAATCCCGTCCTCATTTTAATCAAATTTGTAATATTAGTTTAGGAATGTCCCATCTCTAATAAAAACCTTCATACCTTTGAGGTCATAAACGACCCTACAATATAATTCTAATTGATAACTTTAACTATTACTGTTGGGAATTTTGATCATAAATTTATATAGCTTTCGCAGACGTCTGTCTATCTGAACAATGTAAGTTTAGGGCAGTGTCGTCCACTGCTCTGAATATTAGATTAAGGATATATAAATTGTACTGTACGCCTCTGGCATTTCTGTAGCTTAGATATTATTTAAGGAACTGCAAGACAGGCCCTCACACTCTTTTGCTGAAACCTTCTTTTGCTCAACACTCTTTTGCTTTTGCTCTTCAACTCTCTTTTTACTCTTCAACACGTTATTATTTTTCACAGTTTCCCTCAGGGTAACTATTGTAATTAGTTTATCATAATTAAAGTTAAGTTATATTAAAAAACAACAGTGTACATTAATTCCACACCCGAAAAGACCCTCAACAAGTTGGCCCTTCTGAAGAGGACCACAACAAAAATTGGCGCTGCGGACAAGACGGGATAGTACGGGACAAAAGGACTCTCAAGGAGGAAAAACAGGAAACTGGTCCAGGAGAATACCGTTGGTAAGTGGAATTTGTATATCTTGTTTAGATTTTGTATCGAACGTTTTATATAACTTACTAGTATTTTTTTTAACTCCGTTAAAAAGTACTTTACTAAATTTTATTAATCATTTTTTAACTAAATTTATTAACAAAATTCATCATGAATACCAATTCAAATATCGATTCACTATCGTTAGATTTCATATGTAGGTTGATTCCTTTCGGATTTAGCGGTAATAGAAACGAATTAGGTCAATTTTTAGCAAATTGTAATAGTGCTAATGAGTTAGCAAGTGAAAATCAAAAATTACCTCTATTATATTTTATATTATCAAGAATATCAGGTACAGCAAAAGAGCAACTAACATCACAAAGCTTTGAATCTTGGGAAATTTTACGACAAAAGTTAAAAGATTTATATAAAGAGCGAAAACATTATGTCCAATTAATAGAAGAACTAAATAACTGTAGACAGAATTCTAATGAATCCGTAGATGATTTCTTTCAACGTTTAGAAGTTTTATACCATCGTACGATTTCTTCTGCTCAGCAGAGTTGTCGAAACGATGCCGAATTACTGGGTAAAACTCAAACAATACGCGAATTAACTTTAAACAGATTCATTTACCACTCTAAACCAGAAATTTCACAAATGTTAAGATATAAAGGATTTAATTGCATTAAGGAGGCTCATAATGCGGCTCTCTGTGAAGAAAGAATTTTAAATATATTAAAAACTAATAAAAGCAACCAATACTGTAAGATATGTCGTAACAATTCGCATTCCACAAATAATTGTCGCAAAAATCATCCGCAATCTAATGAAAATTACCGAGTTTATTTTAACAAACACAATTCTAATAATTCCAATAATCATAATTTTAATCATACATTTAATCAACCTTCTTCAAATAGTCAACATAATAATATTAAACAATGCAAATATTGTAAAAAGTACGGACATACAATAGACGAATGTAGAAAATTACAATATAAAAATTCTCACAGAGTATCGAATCAAAACCCAAATTCTAATGAAATACAAAATAAAAATTTTCAAAGGGTATCGAATCAGAATATACCTAATGAAATACCTAATGAAGTATCAAATATTCGTTCATTCACAGATACTCAATCAAATTCAAAAATTCTTAGTGACGATAATAACTCTTTATTTTTAGAACTTAGGTCTGATTTTTCTAATAATAAAGATAAAATATTTCGATTTTTATTAGATACAGGTGCTAGTGTATCTTTAATCAAATTAGATAAGTTAAATCCTGAAATTACTAAATATTTTCTAAGCGAGAAATTAACCTTACACGGTTTAAGTACAGATTCTCCTGTATTAACGGCGGGTAGTACTATAATTCCATTTAATATTAGGAATCATACATTGAAAATAAAGTTCCATATTCTTAATCAGAAAACAAACGTCCCTTATGACGGTCTGATCGGATACGACTTTATTAAATCACAAAACGCGCAAATTGATTTAAAAAAGCATTTATTTTTTCTTGACTCGCTACCTTTTCCGCTACATCTAAAAATGAATATTAATAATGCTAAAACTTTTAACATCTTTACTAATTCATCAGATTTATTTAGCAGAAATAAATTATTAAATCAAAACCGTAGACTAGAACATTTAAATATCGAGGAAAAAGAACAGATTTTAAATTTATGTACGGAATATAATGATATTTTTCACCTACCTGGCGATAAATTAACTTGTACGCGAACTATGAAACACGAAATTAATTTAACTAATCAAAAACCAATATCCGTTCAAACTTATAGATATTCGAAAAAAAACAAATGTATCTGGACAACAAAACTTTCAGATTGTCCATAAACAAGGCAGAATAAATTCTAATGTAGATGCTCTATCACGAAATATCAACATTAATATAATATCAAAAGACGACAATTATCAAAATTTTATTAAATATCATTATCAAACCTCGGAAATTACCCCGAAACTTGATATTAAAAATTCAAATTTATTCGATAATTTACCTGCTGCTATTTATTTTTCTTCAGATCTGGACGAAAATAATCCATTTTCGCAACACATTAAATATAATTTCCACAGCAATATTAATCAGATAATTTCCCCTAATTTACATTCAATTTACA